ATATCCCCATTTTGTCAAATATTAGATGGACGACGGGCCTCCGTGCATCCTGAAACGTATAATTCCGTGATCCCGAGTTCAATTACTATAAAATGATTAAATTTAAAAAAAGGAATAGCCCTAATAAAGACAGTTCAATATTTCAATACATGTATTTTCAAACAAGCGTCCAAGAACTTGTAGAAAGCATGTCCCGACGCGAAAAGTGGAAAGAATACTGATTGTCTTGAGTGATGTCAAAGTGTGATGATATCGACTGGATGTTGTTTTTATTTTCGAACAACAAAATATGTGCCTGTTATGTTGTTACCGTTTTGTTTTATGGATTTGCTGAATTTCATGCCTGGAACACATCAAAACCTGATTCTATAAAGGCCAACATCAGAATGTAATCTACCGAGATCTAATCTCAGACCCCTCGTTTCATTGGCTTCTCTTTCTTTCTTTAAAGTTCAGTGACCGATGACCGGCGAGCGCTATTTAAATCATCGTTAGATTTGAATAAGGCGAATACTTTCCATCGATATTCAATTCCCTTTCTTTCTCTTTCTCTCACTTTGACTCTTTCTCTCTCTCTCTCTCCCTCCCTCTCTCTCTCTCTCTCTCTCTTTCTCTATCTCACTCTCTTTCTCTCCCTCACCCTATGTATATATATATGGCTTTTATTCTTGTGAAAAAACACTTCATTAAACCATGTTAACAGTGTAGCATTATTTATTGCATGTCAGTTCTACACTATCTCATCTTTTCACCCTCTTATTAGTGCCCGTCTTCTCTGCCATGTCTATTCCTCTGAGCTAATTCCATCTCATCCTATCATTCTTGTTTCTATCCGTCTCTCTTGTTTATGTTTCATTACGCTGGTTTACACTCTGACACACGAGTCCTAATTCTGTCACATATTCTGGTTAAATATGGAGTTTGAGATTCTTGATGGTAAAATTCCTCTAGGCCTCTATTCCTCGAATATGTTATCCCCGCTCTATCGCATCACAAGCATTATACGAGATTTCATGTGACGATTAATCGTATAAATTTCATTATTCAAGGTAAGCCGATACAAATGTCTTGTTTGGCTCATTTCCTGAAGACTTTTTTTATACATTTTTTGTCGACTTCTTTTAATGAGATTTACAAGAAATTCGAATGTCGCTCGGCACCAGGGAATGACTTTCAAAGGGGTGCTTACTGCTGGGAGAAAATTATGTTCGAAAGTTCAAGCAAGCAGAATGAATACAAGTTGACATGTTTGTGTGTATTTTTATTACAAAATTCGCTGGCAAGCTTTAAATAAGTAGGAAAGTAAGTAAGTCGTCAATCAATCAATCAATCAATCAATCAATCAAACAAACAATTAATAATGTTCATTACAAGAAAACAAAGGGTCATATGAGCTGACAGCACCCCCTGCACCTCTGGTGCACCCCTGCTGCACCCCAGTACCCCATGCCCCATGGTGCTGCCCGTCTGCCTGCGAATTTTATGAATATCCAGCCTCTTTCAATTTATAATTCTCCAAAATCTTGTTTAGAATACTCCTGAAGGTGATCTATAAATTGATCCCACTGGACGACTTCGATCGTTTCAATACTATTAATAACAGACAAATTATCCATTTTGAAAAATTACACCCTATCTATAATCAGATTTGGGCGGGATTAGCCTCTATACCCACTCAGCTTTAAGGGAGAACCCAATTTGTCAATTTTAGTAATAGATATATCGAGTGGGATGGAAGATATAGAGGATGAGAGATAAAGCTTTGTAGTGAGAGAGAGAGAAAACGAGAGATAGAGAGAGAGAGAGAGAGAGAGAGAGAAAGAGCGAGCGAGATGGAATGAGATAAGAGGGAGAAAGATGGAATAAAATAATAGAGAGCGAGAGAGTTAAGTCCAATCAATTCATTCACTTTAAAGCTTATCTGCCGTAGTTTACAGGAGGGATTAGAGCGCCCTGCAAGGTCACTGGACAGGTGGTTATCTCATCAACTCAGCTCTCAATTAACATAAGAAAAAGAGGATCATGGGGGACCAATGGTCACCGATTAGGCATTGTTTGTTATATAGAGGGCGCAAGTAGCTACAAGTAGTGCAGTGGGCCTTTAAGTAATGATTCATCAAAAGAAGAAAAAAAAACTTCGCAATAAATATACTGAATTGTATGATTACAATTTGAGTGAAATATGAATCATGTAAAAAGATAATGTAAACAAAATTGTCAATAATTATGAGTTATTTTCAAATATTGCTGTACGACACAGAGACACAAAAGATAGATAGAGTGCGCGTGCGTGTGTGTATTTGTATGAGAGAGGGAGAGAGAGAGTGAGTGCGTGAGGGTGTGTGTGTGTGTGTGAGAGAGAGAGAAAAAAAATAGAGAGAGAGAGAGAGAAAGAGTGCATGTGCGTGTGTATGTGAGAGAGGGAGAGTGAGAGAGAGAAAGTGTGTGTGTGGGTGTGAGAGAGAGGGAGATATATATATATATATATATAGTGTGTGTGCGTGTGTACAGTATGTGAGAGAGGGAGAAAGAGATAGTGTATGTGAGAGAGAGATGTGGTGTGTGTGTGTGATAGAGAAAGAGAGAGAGATAGAGGGTGTGCGTGTGTATGTGAGAGAGGGAGAGAGAGAGGGAGAGATGGTGTGGGTGGGGACAGAGAAGGAGAGGGAAAATGAAATGTGGAAATGAGCAGCCAGCCTGAGAGGATCTTCATCAATTGAGAAAAGAAAGGAGGTCGTGCAAGTCTCCAGACATATTAAATCTAATAGAGAGGCGATTCGTACAAGTAAATCCTTGTTAAAGTAAGTGGGTGTTAAGAGAATCACTCGAGTATGATTGACAGATACCGTCCCATTATCTTCAAATATTGGAGTATGCCAGAGATGAGAATGAGGATGAAGCAATTTTAGCAGGAAATTTATGTCGTTCGTTAACATTATGGGTGTCACTCGAGCATTTGTATTTGAAGGAGGATTTCGGTCTAATTTTTCTACAATTTAGCCAGTAATATAAAAATAAAAATAAAAAAATAAGCAAACTTCCACTGTATGTAAAAAAATGTCAGTTATGGTGAAAAAGGTTGACAACGAGCAAAACCAACAACAAATAAAACTTTCAAATGTCCTACTTCTGTTAAATATTTCTGGACAGAAATGTCAGTTATGGTAAAACAGGTAAACAACGAGCAAAACCAACAACGAATAAAACTTACAATTGTCCAACGTCTGCCAAATATTTTCTCGACATAGATTTGTAATAGAAGTATCAGCCCCCCTCTCCTCCTTATTATAGTAATAATAATTTGACCTCCTTTTGATACCCAGGCTAACCACATCTATATTGATACTGCTCGTCATGAGGGCACTGCCATCACTATTAACCCCAATATTCCCAGACACCCTTTCAATACTCCTGGGGGAGAGAAATAACTGTTGGCCAAAACTCTTTATCCAAACATTTACAAAAATTGAATCTGAGACCTCCCGTATGAGAGTCAAGAACCTACAGCAATATACCACGGTGCTCCTATTATATCAATAATAATTTCTAAAGGCTATTGGGCATTATCAAGTTATTCAGATAGAACCTTTCATGTTAACATTCATTTTCGAAATCCCAATGTTCGAATATAAACAGTGAAAAATAATTTCACTGGTGGAAACTTCTCTAAAACGCAAATGCTTGTGGCGAGAGTGCCGTAAACAAACAAAAAACATGTCAATACATTTTACATACAAGCACATGGGCAAAACAATGAACAAAAAGCATGTGGTGAAATGGACGAGGACATACTAAAACAGACATAAAGAAAAGACGAAGATATATACCTGTAGGCATTCTGTATCATCTATGTACACTGGAAGAACTTATAGCAAAGTAAAGAATGCTTTTCAAGCCCCAACCTTGAGATGACAAATACAGGGTGGTGAAAAATCGAATTCAAGTTAATTATAGGCTCTCTCTTTTTTAAGAACTAAATTACAGTTCTCATGCTCACACAGACATTTCTAACCACATACAAGGCCCATATATATCTCCCCACCCTTCATTTTCTTTACTTTCCATCCACCCCTTCTCTCTTTCTCTCTCTCTCTCTCTCTCTCTCTCCTTTTTCTCTCTCTCTCTCTCTCTCTTTCTCTTTTTTTTTCTCTCTCAATCAATCAATCAATCAAATAATATATTTTAACTAATGAGCTAGAACATTCCATTTTCAAACATACGAAGAGAAGTCTGATTTACATTTTTATGGGTAATGAATGAAAAGGGGTAAATTGAACTTCAAACTCCAAAGTGCTCATTTATCAATCAAAACGACGAATGATGTCAAATAACAGCTTCACATCATAACCATCAGTTTTAGAATAGGTTAAATAGACATTTAATTTTGTTTTCAAATTTGGTATTTTTTTGCATAAATTTACAAATAACCAGTATTTGACAAATTTCCTTATACCCTTGGCAAATGGTTTTAAGCAATTACTTTTTGTATGAGTGAAGACGTCATCTTGGTGAATGGATTCAAATGTAAACAACATTACGTACATATTGTACTTTTCAAATAACCTTGAATAACACTACTTAGTAGCCACTAAAGGTCCCGCACCTGGGCCCCGTTGCATATAACTTAGCATTGATGGTAACGTTGCATTTAATGGTATAACTTCCATGGAAAACTTGATTTGATTAGATGTTGAGTGATGTTGCCATGGTAGTTCATATTGATGGCAACATTAATTCTCAGTAATATTAAAGTTTTATGCAACGGGACCCAGGACGGCGTTACATCTTCAGAAAGGAAGTCGTACCATCATTTTGCTGGAGGGGGGGTACAGACAGTGAAGACTGCGGTTAGGTGGGTGCATTCTTCTCGAACCTCTTGCACTCTGTGACGCTCTGTCGAACTGTCTAACAAGTATTGATTGCAAAAATCAATAGAGCCAAATAAGATAGTAACACTGGAAGGATTATCGCTGTACGGCAAACATAACGCGCTGCCGTTGTGTTGCCTAATCTCGTAAGCTACTAACTGGTAATTAACTTGTAGCGGAATGGTTAATATTTTAGAGAGATCATAGGCGCACGAGACATCGACTAGGTTGCGCTGCCGACTTCTGGGAAACGGCACTGACGGCGTTTATTCACCGATACACCAGTAATGATCGAAATTGATGGTGCGCAAATGGTAATCAAATGAACAATCTAGTTCTCAAATGATTTTTGACGAAAACGTATCAACGGCAATGAAGTGAAATTACGTCTAGGCCTAAGGAGATGAATTTCTTGTGAGACGTACACATCATTCAATTGGACAAAGTCTGGTATAACTTCTCACTGAAAAATTGCTTTGATAAGAATTGAGAGCATTTTCTACTCTGTATGCCTTTGCAAACATTAGCATCATTACTTTTAGTCATGTTAGTAAATGCATTTATTCTTTTCCTTACAGATACATATATTGAGCAACACTCCATCGAGAACCTTGGATATCTGCAGTCACTTTGCTGTTAACCTGGTGAGTGAGCTATTATAGGCATAGTATATTTAGTGTAAGTTCATCTTATCGTTATTCTTTATTCCTCTTTATCGTAATAAAAATAGAGGAATTCGATGTCAGATCTTAATAGCTAACTTTCGTTAAAAGGTAAAACTGCAACTTGACAAAAAGAGTGTACGACATCAAGCATTATCCTGCTAGATCCCTTACTAATTGACCCATTCATAGCAATTTATAGAGAATAATTCATTAGCAATTCAATGTGATTGCAAAACGCTGGATATTGAATCTAACAAAATGACCCCCGTTTCTGTTTCCCAAAGCGCAACCTCTTTATTTGCAAAAGTTGGATTGACAAGTGAGCGGAATAAAAAAATTAAATGGCAGTTTAGTTTTCTGACAATATCACATGGTCATTTTAATCATTCAATCCCGCCAAGCGTGATAAATTAATTAAATAATGGATCCAGCAGTCTCTGGCAGTAGGGGGGAGGGGTGCAGAAATTTGAAAGTTGGGTAACAGCAAATACAAAAAAAAAATCACTAATCCGTAATCGTGCTGTTTGGTGTAGGGGAGACTCTCCTTTTCTTTTCCTACTAGAATATAACTGGATGCGTCTTACAAATATGTCAGATTTTGTTTAGCGGGGAGGGGGACCCAGTGGATTCGTCACTGATTTCCCCGCTGTTACCAATGCAGCTCGACTTGCTGATTGAGGTTTGTCAATGTTGATTGACGAAAAGGTTGGAAACTACAGTGGAATCCATAATCTATCCATGAGTTTCGATCCCTCAATGAAAGTTTAATTTACACCAACGGACTGCCGATCTTGTCTTTGAAATAGACAATCTTAACAAGAGTCATCCACAAAAATAATTTGGCCATTTTGGTTACAAAGAGGCAGCAAAACGGCGCTTTTGTTTATTCGAGAGTGTTTGCCCAACAAACGGACAAATGCGATATGGGCCATTGTGAAACAAAATTGACCAAGATCTACATGATATTTAGGAAGGATGGGAAGCTGCATTGCAACGCATAGCAGAAAGGGGAAATAGAGCTGAATGAAAATAAGGCGTATTAAGAGGAAGGAGTAAGAAGAGAAGAAGTCTAAAGAAGAAGAAGGAGAAGAAATAAAGAAGAAGAGAAAGAAGAAGATGAAAAAGAAGAGGAGGAAATAGTATAAGAAGAACAAGAAGAAGAAGAACAGAGTGAAATGAAGAAGAACAATAACAAAACTGAAAAACACTTCAAAATGGCCATTTAATTATAATTTTGTTATAGGTTTTCTCGCGTGACAATTTAGTCCATTAAGCTGTACTTTAAGGATTCTGCAAGTGGCTACAACAGCACCTATTTGTAAACAAGGGCAGAGGCGATAGTCATGGGAAAGGGGATGACAACCCCCGGAATTTTAAGGGTGGATCGCCCCTCCCCTTACCCCGAGTTTGTTTAATTTTTTGGAAAAAGCTCCCCCCCCCCCCCTCCCCCATAAAAAAGTAAGGCAAATAGATAGGGTTGGAATAAAATATCGTGAATATTATGCACTAGAATGCAAAGTTTCACGATTCGCAACATTTGCATTGTTCAATTTAAATCAAGGTTTATAAAGCGTGGTTCTATATGAATAACTTGAAAATGCCCAATAGCCTTTAGAAATTACAGGATTCTCATTCAGAATGATGACAAAGGAGAATATGGTAGCATAATAATAAGAAGGAGAAAATATGAGAACACGAAGACAAAATAGACAAGGATAGTGAAGGCAGAGAAGATGAAATTGAAAAGGCAGAGAAGATGAAAATGGAAAGCATGGGTGACGCAGAAGTTAACAAAGAGAGAGAAAAACTGTCTTGAAGATAAGGTCTTTTAAGTGTTCTTGGAGAAGATCAATGGTGTAAGTGATAGAGGAGAATGCGAGCAGAATAAGACTCCAATGAAATGACATCCCAAGGGAAGTAATACATGAACTTCCCCTTCTTTTATTACCCTTTACTTGAATTGGTCACGAAGCTCACTTATTCTATAGGTGACCAACATGGGGAGGTTAATGCTCCCCCGGTCTGTCAGCTTAATGAAGATGATGAACGTCCCTATTACCCATCTAACGATAAAGCACCCGCTAACCGGAAAGCATGATGAAACATCGAGGGGCGCTTTGGAGGATCCAAGCGAGGGGGAGGGGTGAAATAGGGCCCCCCCCCCCCCCCGTCTTAACCCCATCTCGCATACCTCGAGCCTTGGGTAATGATACGACTGCAGGACCCTCAGTGAGAACAGTATGAATACTGTCAGATATTTCTTTTGGACTTGAGCCCCCCCCCCCCCTTCCTCTACTTCGGCAAAACAAATATTTTGGAGCCACCACTGGTTCGATTTAGAAGAGAAATTGATCACGTCTTTGGGCGGAGAAAGCATTATAGAAAGACCAAGACCAGTGGACTCGGTTGGTCTGGAACACGTTAAGGCAATTATGGAAAAGGTAATATTAAGATGTGCCATAGAAATGCACTTCTTTCTGTTATGTCATTGTTAACTAACTTATCATTACACAGTTACGATAAGAGAGAAATATCACATATTTCCACAAAATAAACTAAAATAAAATGCAATAGCACGCCATGTAGTCTAAATGTGGCAGATTGCCGAAACCTTGCAAAAATTCACCTTTGTCATCGGATTCGGTCGACCACTTCATCTCTCTTCGATGTCGCTGAGGGATGGATCTAGAAAAAAACTATCATTTTTTACACATTGCCCTGGTCCCTTCGCTTTGCTCACTTTATTAGCGTACGTTCGGGAGTTGATTAAAGCAACAGTTTGAACACACCTCCAGGAACCGGTTCGCTGCTCCCCATTCCATCACATTGCACCTTCATGCCCTTGTAACAGGTGTGCCTGGAAGCGCCGGGAGAGGGGGAAGCATCCATTTTCTTTCATTCCCCATAATCCTGCGAGCAGTGCGACTCGAAGGCATGACAAACATTCCATGTTATGAGAAATAATTAAAAAAGGCCGCTTCGCCGAATTTCTGTGTCGCAAGGGAAAGAGTTTGAGGCGCGTCATGATGCATAAGACCTGCTTTTTAAGGTCAGCGCTTCATCGCTCACCCAACATCACCCCCACCAAACATCCCCTCCCCCCCCCCCCCCAGACACACCAACTTGACCGACCCCAGTCAGGCGAACAAAATACCCCCGATGGCCCCAAATCGGTCGGTTTTGAAATCGGTGTGGAGCTGCGTTTGCGATGTGACTGAGGTATAATGGATAGTGTCTGGTAACTCAGTGTGATCTATATTAATTCAACCAGACTGGTGGATGGTCTTTACCAATCCTTATTTCATTCCAGGAAAGCTTGAAAGGTTATGTTCACGGACTATCTAACGCTATGGTTGAGGATGATAGCTTGATGAAAACCGCCTAAAGCTGATCATTATCTTGTTACGATTACCATAAAGATTACCATTCGGACGGTTCAAGAGGACCTAAATGTTCGAATGTGTCCACAAACGTGACAAACCATAACTCACTTTGTTGACTCTATTATTTTCTCTTCTTGGATTGGAATTGGAATGGAATGGAATTATATATTTGAAGAATAGTGTTTTTAGTATTTTAGTGGTGGTTATTTTACCTGACTGCTAAGAAAGCATAAAAGCTTGTTAATAGTAAGCAACCATAATACATTTCAATGAATTTGTTCCACTTCTTTAAATATATATTAACATATATTTTCACATCAATTGATTTTTCGTCTAATATTGCCATTGAATTCTAAAAGGATATACCCATCGAGGCGCTCCGCATGGCTAAGTATGACGTTCATGACAAATCGGTGTTTAACGGGCGGTATTTGAAGATAAAAGGTTTGTTGGAGTTTTTACATGCGTTTTATCAATTGATAAAGTTACGCAGAATGTTCCGCTAACTTACATAGAAAGAAAAGATGTAAAGCTTTGAGAAGTAAAAAAGACACGAACATAATTTAATGGAGTGGACAGAAATGATGCTTTAGTAATTAAAATACCTTGCTGGTAACGGAGATCGCGCCGAAGGTGAACCTTACGTCTTTGTTGGCATCCCCCTTTTTCTTTCCCCTATTTTGTAGTTCCTTTTGTAGTTACAGATTGGTTAATTTAATTACTCATTATTCCTAAGTTTCATTTGAGGTGTTTACACTTGTACAAGCATTGCTTTTTAGTGGACCCCTCTGTTTCCAACATGTATTTCTTAAATTTATTTTAAATGCTTATAATTGATTTGTAATGTTTTGTTGGAAACATGAATGAATTTGAAATCTTGAATCTTGAAAATCTTACACAATTGCATTTTCTTTGTTTCAAGATAAGTAATGAACGAAGTGATGTATTGAAAACTATAAATTGACACGAAAAAAATGGACAGGCCGTTTATTGACATTATTACCTGTAGCAGTGGGGATTATATTCACTACTACCTGCATATGACTCTTTTTAAAAAGCATCTCAATAGCAAGAATCTATTTAGAAAGTAATTGTCATGATTGCTACCGTAAATACTTAGATTTCCCCAGGAGTTTCTTGGAAAACAGATTCAGTGAGGCTATAATAATCGAGATGAGCTGAAGGAAAGCCCCATTAAGATTTGAGCACAATTTTTTAAACTGAGTTTAACCCTTAAAAGTAAAAGAAACATGTGGGAAAGAAGAAGGGGGTTCCCTTATAGTTGCATCAGACGTTTGACATTACACTTACGACATACTTCGTTGCTTGCCTTGTCCTTTCACGCGAAGATACATCACATAATCTTGTTCCAAGGTCGGTCTGGTCGCGTTAAGGTTCTCACTGTAACATCGACATTGCGTCGCCTCGAGGGCTTATGTTGCTGTCTTCAGTAGATGAGTTCAGCTGCATTGAAAACAAGAGCAGTCGATAATAATTAGCACATCATAGACGATAGGATAGATTGCGATCTTACGTAGTAGAGTCCCCCAAGTTCAAGGGACTATGAAAATAACATGAGCTTTCATTGCTTTATTTATTTTTCTCTTCACTACTCTCTTTGATCTTCCTCCCCGAGAAACTCCACGCACGCACGCACCAACACACGTACATCCTCCTCCGCCTCCTTCCTCTCCCCCTCCCTGTCTAATTTCTTCCTCTCTGTATCTCTCTCTCTCTCTCTCTCTCTCTTTCTCTCTCTCTCTCTTTCTCTCTCAAGCGTGCACGGACACGGGATCATAGAAATAATAAGAACTCTTAATTGCTTTATTCGTTTTTCTCTTCTTCTTCTCTCTGTGGCTTTTCGTTCCCTTTCCCCCGACAAAATCTCCGACACACGCACGCACATACACGAACACACTCCTCCGCCCCGCCCCCTTTCTCTTTTTTTTTTTCTCTCTCTCTCTCTCTTTCTCTCTCCCTCTCTCTTTCCCTTCCTGTCTTTCTTTCTCCCTGTATTTCTCTTTCTCTCTTTCTCTCCATCTGTATTACTATCTCTCTCTCTCTCTCTCTCTCTCTCTCTTTCTTGCTCAGTTCAGAGTTCAGATGCTATAATGGAGATACATCGTACATTACTTTATATTGATATAATAATTATAATAATTATGATTACATAATCGATCATTCGGCTCAGTAATAAAGCTTCTCGATGCCCTTCGATTGATATGAAACGAATTAATGTCCAGCGGCAAAACGCAAAGGCACTGTCCCAAATCCTTCGATTTATAACGTTTTCTATCAAGTGATTTCTTCTTTTTGAGATGTAATCGTAAAATCGCCATTCGGACTGACATGACGGATAACCCCATTTGATAGTTGACGCGTTGATCGAATAGTTTTCATTCCGAAGGCAAAACAGCACCATCCAAATAGGCCTGTAATTATACATTGATTTCTTAAACAAACCGGGGATATAGCCTGGGATTTATATTAATCCCCGGGGATTATGTCAAGGGTATGTGACTCCATGTTTCAATGGCACTTAAAGGATCATTGTCCCTCATCGCATGAATGTATCGCAATGTATCGATTTGTATATTACTCACGACACGTGCGGTAAGGCGTGAAAATCGTGTTTGTGTCTGTGCAGTTTTTTCTAGTGATAGACAAACATGAACATCTTTTTAATTTGTATATGTTGCATTGGGTGTTTTCATGGGCGGTACGGTAAGAGATTTCTGTTCTGATCAGCGGCGTTGACATTTCGATTCACTGCATATCGAGGGATCAGTTTACAAAAAGGTCATACTCAGAAGTCCCAAGAGTTTTTGAAAGCCTTCGAAACAAGCGAATGGCCAGTATAAACAAATATTGTGATAGTAAGGCGTCTTACTGTCGCCTAAAAAGAGAGAAATTGATGAAATTTCTATATCATATATTCAAGGAGTGAGTATTAATTTCAAAAGGGCATTTTCATTGAAATCGGAATATTATACGACATGCTCCGTGTGTGTGTGTGTTGCACTTGTTATGCAAATTTACCCCTAAATTAGATGTTTTGGGGTAAAAATGAAAGTGGTTGGTTTGTGAATACATGTATAATGAGACTTTATAAGTCATATTGGACATTTGAGGCATGGATGTTTTTTTACAAGCTGCGTCAAAGTATTTTAAATTTACGTTATGATAAGTTTTTTTCACGTTTCATCAATGTAGAAGGAGAGCGGAGGAAATTTAAAATTCATGCCGACAAATTCGTTTTTGAATAACAGCAAAATGATCTACATAATGTATGTTTGGGCCAAAACGATTTTATAGGATTTTTATTTCTTTATTTTTTTTCTCTTTTATCCAGATAGACAACTTTCACTCTTGAAGCGAGGGCTCAAGGAATTATTGAAATCAAGAAAAATAAGCTACTCAAAGAACATCGTTCCCACAGGTAATATTATTTTCACTGCTTTTTTAAATTGTTTTCAAGAGATAAAAATAGGCAGATGTCCGAAATATTGTGAACTTAGATAAATTTATAAATTTCTGGTGTATTTGATGACTTTCCAGTCTCGAGTCTGTTCAAATCCCATCTTCTCAAATATCAAAACCACCTCGCGTCTGGGGAAATATTTTATGCTTTTTGATGCAATAGTGTTGCTCGGTTGAGGAACAAATTGGATTTACTCCGTGAGCTGTACAAGACTAGGGAGAGATCGAATTCTTTTCTTTACGATTTGTCGATTTTTGCTGGTAATATCTTGGGGATTTATCTCGCACCATTTGACTTGTAAATGCCATTCGCAGCCCAGATTCAAGCTACCCCCTCCTCTTTCCTCCATTCAACTCATATCACACATTATTTACCTTCGTTTGGCTTTCAGTCCAATCTTTTTTGATGTTGTTTATTTTTTCTATTTCTTTCTCACCCGCTTCTAATGTTTTCGTGGTCTCGCTTAGAAAGATAATACATTCTGGTCAGTGGATAGCTCACTTTCACAAAAGAAAAAAAAAAAAAAACGAAGAAGAAAAAAAAAGAGATGTCAAAATTGCTTTGCCACTCCAGACCCGAATTATTACGCCAATTGCGCTCCTGAATCAAAGTCCTCGCAAGAGAATTGCGAAGGAGGGCTAAAGTGGATGTTCCCAGGCTCATATTAGGTGCCCCAGAAGGCAGAATCAATTTCTGATGAAATCCCTAGTTAGTTGGGTTTAGCTTGTCCACAGTGTACTTTGAGATTAATTGATAGGAAGAGCGAGGGTTTCGCGAATCAGAGTGGACCGGTGAATGGAAAACAATTGACCAAATGTAACGTGTTTAAAGAGAGAGAGAGGAAGAAGGGAGGGTGAGAGAGGGAGAGAGAGAGAAAGGGAGAGTGAGAGAGAGGGAGAGTGAGAGAGTGGAGGGGGTGGAGTAGAGAAAATAAAGGACCGAGGGAGACAGGGTAACAAGATTGGAGACATAGCGATACACAAAGAGAAAGAGTGAGAGACGTGTTGGAAAATTTTCAGAGAGACGGGAGGGGTTAAGTGGAAGACATAATTTTAAAATCAATTATTAAAGTGGGCGTTTAAATATACATCATTATTAATTCCTTTCTCCACGATTTACTAGGAATTATGTTAAAACGATACTGTTTATATATATATATATATATATATATATATATATATACAGTATATATAATATACATATATATTTTATATCAATTAGATATATTGTGTTCCATTGAGTGAGTATATTGTGTTGTATTTCCAGGTTTTACAATTCTGAAGATAAAGAAAACCTGCCCGAGTCAGGGAAATAGCTGAATAAGCTGGAATTATATAAACGTATGCTTTGATAAATTAAAAAAGGGTAGTGAATTTCATTCTGACCTTTTTCAAAATGAAAATAATGCCTAAGAGACTTTAAATTTAATTTCCCACTTTTTTACTAAATAATGAACGATGATTTGTTCCTTTTGAAAAGATATACTGTTTACAATACGATTTTGAAAATAGAAAAGAAATAAAGTTCAGGTGGCAAGAGAAAGAAAGAGCGAAGGAGAAATAAATAGAACACGTGAGAGATAGAAAGGAAAAAAATGGGAGAGATACAGAGAGAGAGGGGGAGGGGGGCTGAAAAATACAACCACGTGATGAAGGAAAGAGAAGATAAACGAGAGGAATATAAAGAAGTCAGGGAAAGTAGGCCGACAAGGGGATGCCATTTTATTTTACGCCTCTGGGAACATTTACAATAGTACATATATTCATATAACGACCTCACAAATACATAAATGCAATTTCTCGAGCTCAGATTTGGTGATTTTCTTCAGATAAGCCGTATGAAACGAAACTACCCGGCCATGTGGCATCATACAGTTTCAATGTCGAATCCCTTACTTATCATATACATGTGCATTATAAATAATTCAATATTCCTCTGGAAGGACGAGGGTCCTGTGGGTTCGTTGGACTTTTAACTGCGTTCTTTCTTGTTGATATCTATACAGTATGAATGTAAAATTTTCTACTCCGTTCTAGTGCGATAAAAATCAAAAAAGTTCGGGTTTGAAATATCGTGGATGTGACCGTACAGGAGGATAATTTTTATCTCTGTGAGTGACGGGATATGATCCTTTTTTTTCAATTTTAAATAAATATTATTATTATTTAGGGTGGCTTGCGAAAACTAAACTTCAATTTCTAAAGTAGAGAAGAGAATGGGAAGGGGCGCCGTGCAAAATGAGAAACTGAATTATACGACAATGTACGAAATTGAAAGGTAACTTAAAGATAAAGTTAAATTTTGGCATAAACATCCGTCCCGATTTGTATGATGTTACATGCCGCATTTAGAATATTAAGCCTTTTTTAAGGCATTTGAAGAGCCATGCATTTTAGGGAACATTTTTTATCTGATGTTCTTCCACACTTGCACAATACAATGATAACGCTCACAAATTATTTTGTTCACCTCTTCCCAGAACTCAACCTTCTCTTTAAGACTTATTTTAAAAAATTGGACTGTCATACTATACAAACTGAGTTGGCTTTCTTGTCCTTTTCCTTCATTTTAACATTCCCTCTGCCAGGGTCGTATTGCATTTTGAATTGGAAAGTTGATTAAAACATGGGAACATGCGTTGACAGAAGGACACGTTGGGGGATCGCGGTCATAAAGTTTGATTAAAAATATGAAGGACCAAAAAAAAATCTACGTGTAGATTTGAAGGTATTACCTGTAAATGAACTCTATCCCCTTGAAACCCACAGCGATGAAACATTTCTTCTTTTATTTTACTTAGATGTATCTTCATTATACTGTACTTTGACAGCGCAATTTGGGTGAGGCGTTTGCAAACGTTTCCAATTTTACTTGTAGCCATTCTCAATGACGTAACGAAAATTTGGCGTGTTTTTCATTCGCTTTTAATCGCACGAATGGAAGGAAAACCTAGAATAAACTAACAACGACACCCCCACCCCTGAAACGTCGTACCGTTCGGACGAATACTGGGGTAGTTAATTTTGTATCAATAAATGGTACATTATCCCAGCTTTGTACCAGACGAAACCGTAAATCAAAGTGTTTTTTTTCTGCCCTCGAACGTTCATCAAAGACGCCATGTTGCCCCCATGCGGCAAACGGGTTAATCCCAAGATATGAAGATTGATATCCTTCCGCCTCTCACTGTCACGTGTGATGCCACCCGAGTGCATCATCTAATATCCAAGTTTAGACAGAATTGCTTCGATATTGCTTATTAGATAACCAATTGTTAGCTAAATCCGTTAGCACGTAAAAATAACATCGTACACGTTTATAAGTATACAAATAATACACAGCAGTGAGGGCATTAGTAAGAATTACCCACACAAGGTACATGTACCTTTGGAACAGTCTAACACGCCCGAGGCGATAGCCGAGGGTGTTTGGACTGTTTTGAAGGTACCGAGTGGGGGTAATTTAACTAATGCCCGAACAAAATGATGTGTATTATTTGTTTTATAAGATTATGTTTTATTTGTTTCATAAAATGATGTTTTATAACATGGGTTAACTAATGACCGATCATTATCAAAATTACGTGCAAAACTATATTATTGGTGCGTCTTTTCTGAGTGCGGAGACATTATCCAAATGTTTCAACAGCCTCGGTGACTGCCTGACCATTCTTTTCTTAATTAAATCCTTTCTGTACTAGTTTGGCCAGAAGGGATTAGAGCTCCCTGTATGGTCACTGGCAGGTGGTTATCTCATCAAATCAGCTCTCAATTAACATTAGAAAAAGGGCATCAAATGGGGGATCAAAGGGTATCGCTTAGGCATTGTCGGCTGTATAGAGGGCGCAAGTAGCTATAAGTAGTGCAGTGGGGCTTTAAATGTGCGGGGGAGCAGAAGGTGAATCTTACATCTCAGTGCAAGAAAAGAATCTTTCGAGGACAGATACTTATAACAACTTAATGTTTAAATTCATTTTTCTAGACACCCTTTAGACAAAATGGATCTTTTCCTCTCTAAGAAGTGGAAATGGCTTTTGATTTGCAGTGGCATTACTTTTAAATGGGTAGAGTAATGTATTCTTCTTGTTGCATCGCAGGTAGATACAGTAGTTAGAATTCGCCTATTCTATAAACATGTAAAATTACATTGTCTTGCTGTCATGTTAAGGAAAAACATACTAGTAAATTTCCACAAGATATCAAGCAGCCCAAGCCTAATTATTAGTCTAAGAGACATGATACAGTTCTTATCTTACAGCCTATGTAAGTTTTTGTTTGCCGTGTGACTCCTTTAGATCTAATTGTCCGAGGCGGAACTCATCTTTTGTAAGTGACCATCAGAAGAAAGTGGTTGCCATGGGGACCACATGCGAAATTATGTACTAGGAAGAGAAAGAGACATATCACGAGGAGGAAGATGTCCTAAAGGTTGAAAGGGTAGAGGGGAAGGAGACGGTACCCTTAGGGAGAAAGAAGAGAAGAGTTATAACACGGATTTAATACCTTTTTTCGCGCCACCCATAAACGGAAAGGTCTTCTTAATTCGTGTAAGTGTAAACCTTTATATGCAACCCTTTCGCAGTGCTTGGAGACATGTCGGAAGTGAAGGGCTTGCGGAAGGTTCCTCCACCGTGTCCTCTACCACGTTTTTTACCAAACGAATTGACGCCTAAACATGGGTAATATTGCCCTTGGACACTTCATTCTGTAGGATGTTAAAATACCCACTCCCTTTTCCACTTTTCAATCCATCCTGACATGATCACCAACTATTTTAGAAAAATCGACCCAATACCCCCACAATTCTTGTTCCGATTACATAACGTGTCATTGTCACGTTCCCCCGGTGGGGTCACTCAATGCGGCGACATAGGGACCGCATGGCCGTTACCAAAATCGCGGAAAAGGGGTCAATTTCAAGAAATGTCCGCGGACAAAATATTCCTCGAAATATAGAAA